CTTATTTTTACCCATTCTAAATACTTCATTTGTCTTTCAAGGAAAGATTAGTGGTAATTTATTTCTACTATTAAATATCTACTGGCTAATTTCTTTCTCAATCTTTGGTTTATGTCTTTTCATGAGTATCTCCTCTTTTTATCACCTGGATCCTCCTTTTCTCCTTAAAAAGCATTGTCCCAAGCAGTGGGAAATTATTTAAATAGAGTAGTTAAAATGTGCATGTCCCATATCAGATTAGCTTGATTTGACTCCTGGATTCAGCTCCTGACAGCAATTTCCCACCAACGCAGACCTTGGAAAGTAGCAATGCAGGCTTAAGTAATTGGGTTCCAGGCAACCATATGAGAGAGCTGGATAGTGTCCCTGGCCCCTGGTACTATTGCAGACATCCTTGGCCATTACAGACAATTGGAAAGTGAACCATTGTATGGGAGCACTATGTCATTGTCTTTTATTATCTGTCTTTCTCCTCCTCTGTCTCTCTGACTCTCAAAATAATTAATTAAATTTTAAATATATTCCCAATACTCTGATAGTCCTGAACTAATAACATTGCTGAAGTGTCAATCAATGCCTTTTATCACTCTTTATTGACAAACAACTTTCACTTATAATAGTTTTAATTTATTTTTATTTATTTGTGAGCAGAGAAAGACACACACACACACACAGAGAGAGAGAGAAACAAATGGAGAGAGCTCCCACCCACCATGAGGTGCTAGAGCCAGTAGTTAAGAACGCAAGCCAAGAATAATACTTAGGTTTCAGAAATCTAATTACTTGACCTATCACTGCTGACTCCCAGAGTCTGTATTGGAAGCAAGTTGGAAACAGGAATTGGATGGAACCCAGGCACTCTCATGTGGTACATGGACATCTTAACAACTAGGCCAAGCACCTGTTCAAAAAATAGCTTTAAATTTATGGCTCCATAAAAAATTATTCTAAGCTTTATTGCAAAACAATCCATAGTCCTCCAGACTACTGTCTTTTGGAACTCACAGGAATGTAGTAATAATACATTGCAGATATCTTTACATAGCATTTCATTTTGTAAATCCAATTTAGCATTTTAGCTCTATCCCACTTCAATTGTGTGTGTGTATATATAGCTATTGATTCAATATCATATATCTTTCCCCATACTGTTAGCATATTCTGAAACAATTCAAACTCTGCCAATCAATAATTCCACATTGTTCAAAGGCCAATCCTAAGTACCCCATGTTTTTTGGTTGTTCAATTAATTATATCATTTTTAGACATATTCCATCTATGGTTGAAACAGCTTTCCATGGTTGTTTATTCGAAAGTATGTGCTATCTGTGGTATCTATATGTCTTTTAAAAAGTTTTATATATATATATTTGAAAGGCAGAGTTGGGGGGTGGGGAGAGACAGAGAGAGAACCATCAAATGTCCGCAATGGCCAGGACTAAGCCAGGCTGAAGCCAGGAGCTAAAAGCTTCAACCAGGAATCCTACATGGTTTCAGGGGCCCAAGCATTTGGGCCATCTTCCACTGCTTTTCCAGACACATTAACAGGGAGCTGGATCAGAAATGGAGCAGGGACTGAAACTGGTGCCCACATAGGATTGAAGCTTCACAGGTAGCAGCTTAACTCACTGTGCCACAACTCCAGGACTGATATCTATACTTCTTAAGGATAAGGACCTCATTTAATTAATTTAGCAAAACAGATTTTTCCGATCTCAGAAACAAACGTGAAATATATACATGAAGCTCAGGGCATAACTCAAATGGTTTTGTCTTGCTTACTAGCGTGGTCGATTGTCACATGCACCTGGTAACCATTATATTGAAGTCCTTCTATAAGCTACATTAGAACATTAAGAACATTTTTGCACTTTTTACTTTACTTTGAATCCAAGACAGGGCTGACTCAATGGTGACAGGTAAAGCAACACTGTTTTTAAGTGAATTAATTGAAATATAAACAATGACCAAAGCTTATCCTAGTGACTTGGATGTTTCATAAAATATGATATTGCTAATAAGCAATGGTATAAAACTGTTAAGAATGCACGAACCTCTATCATTATCAAGTTCTCGTCTTGGAAGCAAAGAAGTTTTAAAGCGACTGCTTCATGAAAATGTGAGTCTCCATCTATTATAAAACACTCGACTTTCCATGGTCTTGACAAAGGGTACAGTCTAGAACTCTTTGTGGGAGGAGGTAACACCTCTCTCATCTGAGTCACCAGTTAGTCATGGTGTCTTATCCCTGTCTTGGTGACATTATCAAAAATGTTTTATTCTTTCTCTTGGATCATTTAAATCAGTATCCAAATATGCTGCTATCTCCCAGGCTAAAATAACCCTTATGCCAACTCAACTTTCTTCTTAAGTTTCCATCTGCAAATAATGTACCATGTTCAATACAACAAAAATACAAGACACCTTACTATCCTTAAGACAGTGCTATATCAGTCAAATGGAATGTTTTATATGTTCTTATTTAAATATTTATTTAATCTTTAATTTTCATTATTCATCAGAAAAAGTCTAAATATGTGCATTTTAAACATAGGGAAATTTATATGAAAATATTCTTTTTACATGAATTTCACTTGACTTAAAACATCTGAAAGAGGTAATTTCAAAACACACTAAACATAATAAATATAGAACTTGGTTTGTTAAAAACCTACAGTATAGGGCCGGAGCTGTGGAGTAGTGGGTAAAGCCTCCACCTGCAGTGCCAGCATCCCATATGGCTGCCGGTTGGAGTCCTGGCTGCACCTCTTCTTCTGCTCTTTTTTTTTAAGGTAGAGTTATAAACAGTGAGAGAGAGAGACAGAGAGAAAGGTTTTCCTTCCATTGGTTCACTCCCCAAATGGCCGCCATGGCCAGAGCTGTGCCGATTCGAAGCCAGGAGCCAAGTGCTTCTTCCTGGTCTCCCATGCGAGTGCAGGGCCCCAAGCACTTAGGCCAACCTCAACTGCCCTCCTGGGCCACAGCAGAGAGCTTCACTGGAAGAGGAGCAGCCGGGACTAGAACCTGGTGCCCATATGGGATGCCAGTGCCGCAGGCGGAGGATTAACTAAGTGAGCCACAGTGCGGGCCCCTGCACCTCTTCTTATCCAGCTCTCTGTTATGGCCTGGGATAGCAGTAGAAGATGGCCCAAGGCCTTGGGCCCCTGCACCCACGTGGGAGACCAAGAAGAAGCTCCTGGCTCCAGGCTTTGGATCAGCACAGATCTGGCCTTTGTGGTCAACTGGAAAGTGAACCAGAATATGGAAGACCTCTTTGTCTCTGTCTTTGCCTCTCCGTAACTCTGTCTTTCAAATAAATATTTAAAAAACATCTACAGTATACATTCATGTAAAGGCTCAACTTCCAATTCCAACTATGTTTAAGACAAAATTAAACATTTACACTAATCAGCTTCCTAAAAGTGCTATTTTTAATACCTATAAAAGACAACTCATTCTTAAAAGTAAGCACATACTTAAGTTCTGTAAGCCTTGCCTGTGCTTTACCACATTTTTTAGAAATAGAATCAAGTAACATAGATTACTATGATTAGAATCATGCCAGGGGATCCCAATACAATCCCATCAAGGTGGCATGTACCAATGCCATCTCACTAGTCCAAGTGATCAATTTCAGTTCACAGTTGACCACACTGATAGGTCTAAGAGTCAAAGGGATCACACAAACAAGTCTAGGGTCTGCTAATACCAGCTGATAGAATCAAAAAAGGAGAGAACGATCCATCATGGGAAGCAGGATACACAGTAGACTCATAGAATGGCAGATGTCCTAAATAGCACTCTGGCCTCAGAATCAGCCCTTAAGGCATTCAGATCTGGCTGAAGAGCCCATGAGAGTATGTTAGGCATGGAAAGCCAAGACACCCTGGAAAAAAAAAAAGGAAGACCTAAATGGAAGATCTCTGCAAGTGAGATCCCAGTGGAAAGAATGGGGCCATCAAAGAAGGAGGTACCTTTCTCTGAAGGGAGGAGAGAACTTCCACTTTGACTATGACCCTGTCGGAATAAGATCAAAGTCGGCCAACTCAAAAGGCTTCCATAACCTTGGCAACTCATGACTAGAGCCTAGGGAGATTACTGACTCCATAAACAAGAGTGTCAAATTGTTAAGTCAACAACAGGAGTCACTGTGTACTTACTCATGTAGGATCTGTCCTTAATGTGTTGTCCAATGTGAAGTAATGCTATAACTAGTACTGAAACAGTATTTTACACTTTGTGTTTCTGTGTGGGTGAAACTGATGAAATCTTTACTTAATATATACTGAATTGATCTTCTGTATATAAAGATAATTGAAAATGAATCTTGATGTGAATGGAATGGGAGAGGGAGCAGGAGATGGGAGAGGTGTGAGTGGGAGGGAAATTATGGGGGGGGGGGAAGCCATTATAATCCATTAACTGTACTTTGAAAATTTATATTTACTAAATAAAAAATTTTAAAAAAGAAATAGAATCAAGTAACATAGATTACTATGGCATTTTGCACTGACATGCATACCTAATTTGTTTTGTATACAGTATTTCAGACATTTCAGTTCACTATGGCTGATCAATGCAACCATGCTTTTGTGTTTGATCCTTTTCCTTGGCCTGCTCAAATTAGGAAAGTCTTTGTAGGCAAAGACACACAAAGACACATAATAAACTAAATAATTTCTGATTACTATATTAAATGTTAAAACAGATTATATGCATTTCAAAGGATATAAAACAATATGCATTTCAGAAAAAAACTGCTGAGAAAAAAATAATTCAAACATCTTAATCATTTACTTTGGAATTATAATTGTCAATTAGTATGTTCAATATATGAATTGAAGATGTATTTTTAGTTACTCAATGAAGCTAAATATCATTGAAATGTGACTACAAAAGGGAATATTTTTTCCTTCATTATACTATGTTTCATTTTATAATTATAATAAATAATATATATATAATATAATTATAATAAATAAGTTGAAAGCCTCAAGTACCTTTTCCAGACCTTCTTCTTTCAGACTGATGACATCCAAATCAAAATCTGTTCTTAAACCATTGGTTTTGTTGAAAGTTATTCTTCCTGTGAGGCCTTCCCAATGTGCCTATGGGAAAAGGAAAAAAATAGATTAATAAATAAATGCTTCCCATAAAAATAGAAAAATTATTTTATCATTGTTCATAAATTTACATTGCTACAGATTTTTAAAGTATTTTTCTTCTGAAATATGAGGGATTTTTTGAAAATAAATAATGTAAGTTTCAGTGTAAAATTTATTGGAAATTTTTCTTTTTATACAGTACATTTTTCCAGGAATGATTTTTTTTTCTGTAAAAAGTTTGATGATTATGTTGTACATGGTGAACCTCTTTGTGCAAAGTGAGAAGAATTTAGTCATTTATTATGATATATTAGATACTTAATATCTCTCTGGGGAATACAGATAGAACTACTATTGGAAAATACCATACCTACAGTCATAATTATATGAAATGAAACTTATTTTATTACAGTAAAAGAAACTGAAGACAGGAGAATCAAAGTTAAAGTACTTCAATTATATATTTTCCCTTCAGAATAATTAACTGAATACTTTTCTTTTCCCTAAGTAAGACTTGGAAAAGCATGTTATAATCACTTGATGGAGACAACCTTTTGGCTCAGGATGGTAAGCTGCTTTCTGCAGCGTTGGCATCCCAGATAATCACTTGATATCAAGCTCTGTTTCCTATAGAAGAGCCTATTCATGTTGAAGGAGGTGGGCATATAATAATCTAGCAACATAATGTGCACATCATTGACAATTAAGCAAATACCTGGACTTTTTAATACAAAAAGTTTTACAATTCAATTGGTTATATGGAAATAACCTAATGTTTTCCATTATTTGTCATTTGGAAATAACTTGAAAAAATATACAATATAAAATTTTAAGTAATGTAATGTATACTCAAAATTATAATGTTTGAAATCATATGCAATGAGACCCCAAAGACTAAAAGTTACATTTATTAGTAATTGCAACAGAATACCATTATTACTACTTTTCTTAGACTTCAAGAATTTCTCAGGTACTTAGGTGCTGTGATTCCAAGATAGTTTTAGGTTAATAAATTACCAATGAAATAGAAAAAAATATAATATAAATGAATATTCATATTGCAACAAAGCCTCATTACAGCTAAATATGTGTTTATTAAGGAAGAGGATAATTATATTTTACCAAACTTCTCCCAATGAAAGCACATTTCAGGTGGTTAACAACGATATGGAATATTATAAAAGCACACAAACTGACCAAGGAATACAGGCATAGAAGTGCAGGACAGTAAAATTTATCTGGGATAGACAGTATAAATAAAATACATGACAGGAGCCTGTAAAACTAATAAAATTATATCAAAAATTCAATTCTGAAATTCTTGGTAGCCAAAGTGAAGAAGAAAATATGGAAACACAGCAAATAAAGACCATTGTTTAAACTGTACTAAATGCTCAGGAGAAACATTTCCTGGTACTGAGACCAAAGAGAAACTTCTCCTGTTGGTCTTCACAAGAGGAATACTGTGTAATTTAGCCAACAAGATTCCAATTACACACTGCAACGAATACAATGGGAAATGTCATTCAACTGTCTTTTAAGACCGCTGTCATAGCAAAGATGAAAGCTCAGCTAAACTTTCATTCATGAACTATTCTAAGCTAACATTTTCTTCTATTATAGGAAGAATAGAAGGTATATACATATATATCATCTTCAAGAATGTTTCCTTTTGTCCCTATGTACATGCCTGGTCTACAACAGACATAATCAGAAACAGGCTGAAGCAAAGAGCCTGAAACTCCCTCCTTGTCTACCATGTAGATGGCAGGAACCCAAACACTTGGATCATCTTCTGCTGCTTTCCTAGGCTCATTAGCAGGGAGCTGAATGGAAGTGGAGCAGCCTGGATTCGTACCAGTACTCATATGGGATGATGGCATCCCAGGCAGTCCCCACTGTGCCACAATGCCAGCCATTATATATTTTGTTTTATGTTAACTGTTAAAGTAATGAAAATAAGTAGATATTATATTTAGGAACCATACATCTAAATAACTATACTTTCAGTCTCATAAATTAACTATAATTTTAAAATAACCCAAATGACATTCACTTAAAAATACATTTCATGTTTTGTTGCCTACAATTTGAATACTTTTTTGTTTTTAGTTTTTTACCATAATCACTATTTTTGGATTATAAACACTTTTTAAAATATCTAGATCTCCATATAACTGGAAAGTAATACATGTAAAGATTCAGAAAGGTAAATGGTAACAGTCATAAATAACACTTTCCATGTCTACAATCTTTCATCTACTTACATCATCACACATTTTGATGAATATTTCATTTATGTATAATGGAAGCCCCCCTAGTGTTTCATATTACTTCGTAAAAATATTAACCTGGCTCATATTGGAGAAGAGGAAAAGATTCATTTAAAAGGTGAAACTGATAGATTACCTACTAGAACACTGTAATAATCTCATTTCACTCAGTTTAGGGACAAGGCAGAGTGATTCCTCCTGACATACCTCTTTAATCAGGCTCATGAAGCGGGTGCCGAAGCGCCAGGGCTTGTGTCGATTACACTGCAAAGAACTGACTGTCATCTGCGGAAACTGTTGAACAGCCACAGAAACGACATGCACAGCATCATACATCAGGGCAGCGTCAGTCTGAAAGGCAAAGGCAAAGGAAATACAGAATCACTACAACAAGTGACAGCTGCCTTTCAGAGTGGAAAGAAGGAAAGGGTAAGGAAAACACTTGTATATATCCAGTTATCTTCAGACATGGAAGAAAAACATTATCTTCACCATGATCTTGTTCTCTAAAAAAAGATATTGTGATCAAATCCCCACATCAGCTCCAGGAACACTTGACCCAGACTCCATTTCCTGAAGTGATAACCTAATCACATGCTGTCCATGACTGTCTGTGGAAGCAGGACAAGTGTGAAGATGTTCTTTGTTTCCCTTTGTCACTCTGTTCCTATCTTACTCTTTCTCCACACACACACAGTGCAATGGCTAACATTTTGAATGGTTACATTAATGATATGTGGTATGTAAAAGTCTATAAACAATTCCCTGTGTAAGAAACAGAAAAAAATATTCACTTAAAAAGCTTATATATCCTGATCTTTTCTTTAACTCAATTTTTCTAAAGATTCAGTTTCCGAAATGATGCTACAGTTTTGAATCTCAATATATCTATTAACCCCTTTTCAGAAACTAAGCATAATCCCTTGTGCTGTTTTCTTTCCCCCAAATTTCCATATGAATAAAAGTTCATTTGGCTTCTCAAGTAAAACGAATATCAATTCTATTGTGTTTGCACCTGCTCAGATGACCAACCACTTTAGAGTCTGATGACAAAAAAATAAAATAAAATGTTTATAAGTTATAACAAACCAGAGGCTTAGTGAACGTCAAGTTTGTGTTCAATCGTCTCTAACATTGTGTTTGACAGATCAATGCCAGTCTCACTACCTACAGAAGAGGGCCACACTGACAGTGCTGGTAACAATGAACTTAGGGCCATCTGTTTGGCATGGTTTAGAATAAAAGCATATATTTCCTCTTCTCATTCACACAATTAGTGAGCTGTGAAATGAATTCCAAAATGAATAGGAACCCCGTAGATTATAGTGTTTGCCACAATACAATACAAAATGAGTACACACAGTAGCTTTCATGCAAATCAATCCTAAGGAGCTTTACCATATAAAATAGAAGATGGATAAAGAGCACAACGCATTGACAGAACATAATAAAAATAGCATTTTATGGTTCATAAATCTTTGGGGAATATAACTCAGATGCATAACATTCATTTTGCAATACCAGATGACTACTTCCACATACTCTAATGGCTGCATAGTGAAAATCAGAGCAGTGGAGTTGACACAGGCATACATTATGAACCTGACAATCAGATTCTATTTGTCTCTGACCTCAGCTAATATTCAGAAGATATATTTCATATAGCACACAAGTTGAACAAAAAGCAGTTATCAAGGCATTAAAGGGACATTTTGTCAAAATAAAATAAAATTTTAAAATATACCACTGTGAAAGGAGTTTCAGAGGAAAGACCACTAAAGGAAAGATAAAGAGCAATTTTTCAAAAGCCTCTCAGAGGGAGCTTCTAAAATAAGACCGGCAAAGACTATTCTTGTAAGTTATTAATGAGTCAACTTTTATTTTTTTTTCTGTTTCTTTATTTTCCACAGATTTTTAAGATACATTTTAATATGTAAGAAAAGTTATAAACACATTGCAATTATTCCAAGAAAGAAATTTTGATGTTTCCATAAAATAAAGAAAGCAACACAAATTAACACATTCCTAGTTTCCATGAAAATATCCTTTCATTTTTTAGTGAGTTATGCAGTGTTTTTAATGACTTATTTATTCATTTGAAGGGCAGAGTTACAGAGATGGGGAGAGAAAGAGAAAGAGAGAGAGAGAAAGAGAGAGAGAGAGATCTCCCATTCATTGTTTCACTCCCCTAAAATGACTGCAATGCCTGGGGATGGGCCAGGTCAAAAGCCAGGAGCCTGGAACTCCATCTGGTCTCCCACGTGGGTGACAGAGGCCCAAGTACTTGGTCTGTCTTCCATTAATTTCCCAGGCACATAGGCAAGAAGCTGGATTGAAAGTGGAACAGCTGGGACTTGAACCAGCACCCATATGGAATGCTTTTGTCACTGGCAGCAGCATACCCACTGCACCACAATGTTGGTCCTGACTTATGTAATCTTTTATGATTCATCATAGAATAGTTATCCTGTGTGAAAATGCTAGAATAGTTCCATTATCTGACAATGCTAAAAAAAAATTACCTAGTGGGGAGTTTGAAAAATCTTTTTTATGTTAAATATTATGTTTACTTGTTTTCAAGGTAGAGGGAGAAACAGAGTGAGAGATGGATTTTACACCTGCTAGTTCACTCTCCAAATGCCCCAAACAGTCAGAATTTGGTCAGGATGAAACCAGGAGCGGTATATCAATTTATGGGGTCGCGTTCAATAACGGTTCTGTTAGAAGGCTAGTAATGCTAATCAGGAACAATTTTATGAAAAAGTATATTGAATTAAATTTTAAAACATAACACAAAAGGCAAATATGTGTATATGTTTCATAGCTACTTTTAAAAAGGCTTAAAACTGGGGCCATGCTGTGGCACAGTAGGCTTAGCTTCCACCTGCACTGCTGGCATCCTATATGGGAGCCGGTTTGTGTGCTGATTGCTCTTCTTCTGATTCAGCTCTCTGCTATGGCCTGGGAAGGCAGTGGAAGATGGGCCTTTGCACCCACGTGGGAGACCCAGAAGAAATCCTGGCTCCTGGCTTCGGATTGCACAGTTCCCACAATTTCAGCCATTTGGGGAGTGAACCAGCAGATGGAAGACCTCTTTCTGTCTCTCCCTCTCTCTCTCTCTGTAACTTTGGCTATCAAATAAATAAAAAAATCTTTTTAAAAATGCTCTAAGCATTAACTGTAACTTGACCAATCAAAATTAAATGCATGTAAAATTTTGTTATTAAAATCAACATCAGGTGTTTAGATACGCCTGTAGTCGTTTTCAAACTAAACTACGAAGATAAAAGCAGCAGTTAAAACAAGACAATCTCTCTTATTTTCTTTTTTAAGTATAATTACATATATTCCAATAGACCACACTTACTGGAAAATTAGAACGTCTGTTCTCCCTGAGGGTACAGCCCAGGAGAGGGACAGGGAAGATGAGACAGCATAGACAGAGGTAAATAGGACAGAGCTAAATGCAGACCTCCATGCTTTACTGCTAGTCCATGCGCCTATCAATTAGATTGGGACCACACTTGAGAGTCAGACTCCAGTGGAGCTGGAGCTTTAGTTTTCTTTCTAAAATAAGTTAGCTAAACCACAAAAAATGTATCTCGGCCAAAAACTTGTTTTGAAAACCTTTGAAATTGTGCAATATGGTTCTACACATTTCAGTAGAACTACAGTGATCTTTCTAAATGAGTGTCTAGGAAAGATCATGAGAAATGCCTGCAGATACATTTATATATGCATGAACATTCTCACTAACTTATTGCTGGGTTTATCTTACCCTTAATCTAATTACTTTTAGGAATGGAGCCTGTTACAGGAATACAGATGGAAGAGTGACAAATGTTAATTTCTACAGCTAAGTTATCACCAAGAATTTGGCTTAGTCCCCTAGTGCTGCTTCGTCTATATTAAGTAACCTCATGGCTGATGAATCTTTACTGGTTGAAATAATTGAAATATATGTTTATATTTTCTTTAAATCCTGAACAAGTCATTTATATGTACTTAGATTTCATTTACAGAAGAATATGGTACTAATCAGTAATTACTAAGCATGTCCATGTTGATTGCATTTTATGTTATTTCTGATCCTAATTGCTATTACACTGAACATTTACCTTATAACGTTCAGAGATTGGCGCTGTAGGAGTTAAGAAAAAAGTTAAACATAGATTTGATTTCCATGAAATGTGAAGAAAAAAAAAGACAAGTAATTCCAACAAATAAATAAATCCAACACAGGAAAGAACATTGATACATAAAATTTATCAGATATACTAAAGATTGTCATTAGTAGATATTTCTCAAAAATATTTTCCTTCTAATGGAAAGGTATTAACAGATAACTCTGTCTTCCCTATAGTTTGAGGAATAGTTCAATAGGCATCCACTCACTAGGAGAACTTAGGCTATATCCATTTCCAACTTATTTTCTTTGTTGTGCCAAGTACTATTATAAGTGCAATAATACATCACTTTTTGCTTAAGGCTTTTACATATTAGAGTTCTTGGATGAAATACAAATATACCCAATATTGTATTAATAATTCACATTTAATAGTAATCATTCTTAAGAGTGATTAACATATATGTTCACATCTTGATTATAGTGATACTTTCATGACTGCACAGTTGTGTCAAAACTTGTCAAAATGTACAATCTGGGCCTGGTGCTGTGGCACAGTAGGTAAAACCTCCGCTTACAGTGCCGGCATCCCAAATGGCGCCAGTTCAAGTCCCAGCTGCTCCACTTCCAGTAGAGCTCTCTGCTACGGGCTGGGAAAGCAGTAGATGATGGACCAAGTCCTTGGGCCCGTGCACCCTTTTGGGAGATCCTGAAGAAGCTCTTGGCTCCTTGCTTCAGATAGGCTCAGCTCCAGCAGTTGCGACCATTTGAGGAGTGAACCAGCATATGGAAGACCTCTCTCTCTGTCTGCCTCTGCTTCTCTGTAACTCTGCCTTTCAAATAAATAAATCTTTAAAAAATTATACAATCTGAATATGGTGAGTCTATTACACATAAACTTTATTCCAATACAGCTATAATAATAATAAAAGACTGAGTATTTTTCTGGGAAAATGGTCTATAGATCTCATTTTATTCTAGGAGTATCTCAAATTATCTCAAATTAGGGATTCCTGATCTGTATCTTCTTTCTTTCTTGCACATTCTAGTCTTAATAAAACTATATTTCCCTCATCTTTTCATTTTCATTTCTAGATCATATGTATTCTTTGGATAAGTCTATTTTGTAATACCCCTCACTATTCCTTATATAACCTTGTCCATAGTAAGTGTATAAAAGCATTTTTCAATAAATAGAAGAATTCAACCAAAAAGTTCATTTAAA